GTCTTTCTTCATATGGAAGGTTTCTAATATTATGGATCATTTTCGTCATTCTTCTTTGTACTCTCTCCAAAGAATCTATCTCCATTCTATAATAAGGACACCAGAATTGAACCGCATAATCCATGTGTGGCCTCACTAATGCTAGGTAAAGTTTCAAGATAACATCAGCAGTTCTGTTACTCACACTCCTAGATATGAACCCAAGAATCCTGTTTGCCTTGTTGCGAACGCTAATACACTGTTTTCTAGGTTTCAAGTCGTTGCTAACAAATACACCTAGATCTTTTTCACAATCTGAGTTTTCTCTTTCCGTGTTACCTAGTTTATACTTAACATTTGTATTCGTCTTCCCTATCTGTAGTACCTTGCATTTATCAGTATTAAAATTCATTTGCCAGTCTACTGAACACTCATGTAAGGTATCTAGATCTCTTTGAAGGTGTTCAAAGTCACTGTCTGAATTTATCACTCTCCCCATTTTGGTATCATCTGCAAATTTACTAATCCTACTAGTTATACCTAAATCAAGATCATTAATGAATATAACAAACAGCAGAGGGCTTAATACAGATCCCTGGGGAACTCCGCTTTTGACCGCACCCCAGTCTGACTTAAATCCATTTATGCTGACTCTTTGTTTCCTACCAGTTAACCATGACCTAATCCATTTTAATAATGATCCACCTATTCCAAGTGCTTCTACCTTCCTTATCAATCTCTCATGAGGGACTCTATCGAATGCTTTACTGAAATCTAAATAAATTATATCATATGACTTATCATTATCTACCGCTTCATATAATTCTGAGAAAAAGCTAAGCAAATTTGTGAGACAAGAACGTCCCTGGGTGAACCCGTGCTGAGAAGAATGAATTAAGTTGAATGTTTCAAGGTGGCTTCTGATTTTCGTAGCAATGATACGGAAACATTTCAGAAGAGGCAGTTATGAACTCAAGTGCACAGATAAATTGCACTGAAATAAGCGGATGAATTTCAGGAAATTAGTTAGAATATTCAAATAATGGCAGCTGTCCTTCCCTCCACAATGAAGGGACGAAAGTGGCCAGACCCTTTATAACACCCTTTTAGACAGCCTCTCCTACTATAGCTACATCTTTCTCCTTCTTTCCGAGCTAAACCTCCCAATACCAGGATATAGGAAACGGGGTTATGATGATCATACTGTAAAGATAGACAGACTAGTGGAGGGAGAGATGGAGTGGGCCAGCCAGCTATAGTTCACGTGACGTCACTGCACAACGAGCGAAAACTAGACTGCTTTCCGGCCGACCTCTCTATATTGGCCTTGGCCCGAGGGCATGCCTCACCTTCCCGGCCAGGAGTGGTGTATTTATCTGTTAAATACTGTTAATTACAAAACTTCAAAACTTCATAACAGTCCAACAGTTTCGAACCAGTCCAGGAATACTTATACCTCTCCACCTAAGCGACCGACTTCCTTTGTGCAAAAATACTCTAAAAATAATGCTGAAAACCAGGACTTAACTCGCACCACAGTGTTGTTGTAGAAATTCCCATTCTCTTTGACAGTGAATACTGATTCTTCTGTATCAGTGATATTTAAATTACTTAGAATTATGCTTGTTTATTTTCACGACAAATATAGGTGGATGATATAAGTACTGAATTTCGAAGTATAAATTATCAGAACAAATACAGTTTCAGGTTTCATTATTTTTTACCTTATTTGCCCATTGGCCACCCACTAGAGGTGGCGATGCCAACGAATAGAGCCCCAGTGGCCTGTGTAGGACCCCTTGATATTGTTCTTAATTTATTATTTCCTGTATAAGAGGTTAGGGGTTCAGAATCTGGGGATTCGGTAGTGGAGTTTATACCAGAGGGTTCCCTTGGATTACAGAGATGGTAGAGGTTTTTGTTTGTCTAGTTTATAGAACTTGGTCAGCAATAACCGATACTTCAACACTGAAGGTCAGGTCCGTCATATAGTGTACGGGAGGAGTACTGTTCATATACAGAGGTGTTATATTTTGACTTTGACTTTTGTTATACCACAAACAGATGTCATCAAGGTGAGATATGCCTCTCTTATCCCAGCTGATAATAATATAAAACCACCTGACCGAAAATAATCTTAATGCCAGATGTTATTTGGTAAATATAACGAAAAACAAAACAAATCTAAGCCTATTCTTATGGCAAAATTTTAGATGTGATGATTTTATTATAAATTTTGAGTTGTTAACAAGATAGGTAAAGTTACTTCAGTATAGTTAGAGCCCAATATTTAGACTCCAGTTCCATAAAACGTAAACTTATGTGGGATTTAAACAATACATTATAACTTAGAGTCAACAGACCCAGTGCGATGAAACAAGACAACTTGGTGAAGAGACCCGGCTGAGAGACTCCTGACCAGCGAGGTCGCCTGGCACGGGGGTCACCTCCTACAGTTTGGCAGTTGTTAAATACAATTCTATCCGAAACTTACATTTATATGATCACAATAAAAAGTTAACATAATATTTTCCCTTTAGCAAAATCTTAACTGTGCTACAATTATTTTAACACAGTTTCCAGAAGTTCATAAGGTATATAACGACAGTATAGAAAATATGTTGATGAATATCAATATTACTAGTAACGATGTGCTTAAAGTAATTAACAAACTGAAGCCTCATAAATCGCCTGGTCCTGACGAGGTATATGCTAGAATATTAAAAGAATGTAGAGATGAGTTGAGTAATCCAATAGCAGTTTTATTTAATAAGTCATTAGAATCGGGCCTAGTGCCAGAAGCTTGGAAACTTGCAAATGTAGTTCCGATTTTCAAAAAGGGTGATAAATCAATAGCATCAAATTACCGTCCCATTAGTCTCACGTCAATCATAGGCAAGTTGCTAGAGTCAATTATTGCTACAAAAATCAGAAGCCACCTTGAAACATTCAACTTAATTCATTCTTCTCAGCACGGGTTCACCCAGGGACGTTCTTGTCTCACAAATTTGCTTAGCTCAGAAATATATGAAGCGGTAGATAATGATAAGTCATATGATATAATTTATTTAGATTTCAGTAAAGCATTCGATAGAGTCCCTCATGAGAGATTGATAAGGAAGGTAGAAGCACATGGAATAGGTGGATCAGTATTAAAATGGATTAGGTCATGGTTAACTGGTAGGAAACAAAGAGTCAGCATAAATGGATTAAAGTCAGACTGGGGTGCGGTCAAAAGCGGAGTTCCCCAGGGATCTGTATTAGGCCCTCTGCTGTTTGTTATATTCATTAATGATCTTGATTTAGGTATAACTAGTAGGATTAGTAAATTTGCAGATGATACCAAAATGGGGAGAGTGATAAATTCAGACAGTGACTTTGAACACCTTCAAAGAGATCTAGATACCTTACATGAGTGGACAGTAGACTGGCAAATGAATTTTAATACTGATAAATGCAAGGTACTACAGATAGGGAAGACGAATACAAACGTTAAGTATAAACTAGGTAACACGGAAATAGAAAACTCAGTTTGTGAAAAAGATCTAGGTGTATTTGTTAGCAACGACTTGAAACCTAGAAAACAATGTATTAGCGTTCGCAACAAGGCAAACAGGATTCTTGGGTTCATATCTAGATCTGTGAGTAACAGAACTGCTGACGTTATCTTGAAACTTTACCTAGTATTAGTGAGGCCACACATGGATTATGCGGTTCAGTTCTGGTGTCCTTATTATAGAATGGACATAGATTCTCTGGAGAGAGTACAAAGAAGAATGACAAAAATGATCCATAATATTAGAAACCTTCCATATGAGGAAAGACTGAAAAGCTTGGGCTTGCATTCATTAGAGAGGCGTAGAGTTAGGGGAGATATGATAGAGGTGTACAAGTGGGTAAGTGGGATTAACAAGGGTAAAATGGAAGATGTTCTGAAGCTCAGTAATAACGAAATAACTAGAACAAATGGCTTTAAATTAGATAAATTCCGATTCAGAAAGGATATAGGCAAGCACTGGTTTGGTAATAGAGTTGTGGATATGTGGAATAGGCTACCGAGTGCTATAGTAGGATCGGGGACGCTAGGGAGCTTCAAGACGAAGTTGGATAGGCACATGGAAGTGCTGGGATGGGTGTGAAAGGGATCTGCCCTGTATGGGCCAGTCGGCCTCCTGCAGTGTCCCACTTTCTTATGTTCTTATGTTCTTATGTTCTAACAACATCAGTGAAATGTTTCCCGAGTAAAGTATTAACAGCATCTAGGGGAGTCGTCTGGAAGGTGATCCAATACATAATGTAGGTGAAGGAGGACCTCACCTGAGTATCACAGTACCAGGTGTGTGGGTGGCTTAGGTTAGGTTAATTAGAGAAGGAAAATTATATTTGACTTATGTGAGAATGGTTAAGGATGGTTAGGTTAGGTTAGACAAGACAACGAAAAATAGCATATTTTTATTATTAGACAGACTAGAGACATTATGTTAGGCTAACATTACAGTGAAAGTTTCATCAGAAAAAGTAGGTGTTAAGTTTAGTTTACTAGTGTCAACAGATGTACACGAGGGACAGTTAACCCCTTGTGTACTGGACACCCTCTGTGCTGAAGAAATTGTTTGGCGTTAGTCAAATTACGTATTAAAGGTGGGGCTCCCATAATGAAAGTGTTAAAATTACTGTGATAAAGAAAATCTCTAAATAATAATAATAATAATAATAATAATAATAATAATAATGATACTGATAATAATAATAATAATAATAATAATAATACTGATAATAATAATAATAATAATAATAATAATAATAATAATAATAATAATAATAATAATAATAATAATAATAATAATAATAATAATAATGATAATAATAATAATAATAATAATAATAATAATAATAATAATAATAATAATAATAATAATAATAATAATAATAATAATAATAATAATAATAATTATAAATAATAATAATAATAATAACAATAATAATAATAATAATAATAATAATGATAATAATAATTGTAGCAATCAATACCAGTTTAATGAATACATTTGACATTGCACGCTGTTCACCAGCCACCGTTCGCGAGGCTCGGTTCATTAGCTACTGTTTTCCAAGGTACCGTTCATGACCTCTCGCTCACTAGGCACTTTTGATGAAAATTACACAAAAACGTAGTTGGCGAGAAAGAGTTCAAGGCAGAAGGAGGCGAAGGCGAGAAGAAGACCAGCTGCCAGTAGCACCACTGTACCCTGCAGGAAGTACACGTGTTAGTGCTTTATTATCACTACTAGCTGGAGTACCCGGGGCTGGCCGGATTTCCTTCTCACGACGTAAAGTTAGCATAAGCAAAACAATTCCATCAGGCTCCGCTTCTTCCTCTCCCAATTACACCTACCTTCAGTTACGTAACCATAGTAAGTTTTACCCTTTTATGTTAAGATGTAGGAGGGGAGAAAACACACACACACACACACACACACACACACACACACACACACACACACACACTACTATTAATGACCGTAGGCCCCCAGGGGCCAACCCCTAGTCCTAGTGTTAACAAGGCATCTCATAGCCCACGTCCGTCCTTAGACAAAATTAAGTACACTTGCAAAAATAAGCAAACTAAATGTGAGCTCTGTCTTAAGAACTGTGGCCGTGTAAAGTAAATAAACGGGAAAAGCGCTTTGAGTTTGTAATAAGGAAGCTTCACCTTTGTGAGTTGAGGCCGACCACTGGGGCTAAACACTCGAAAATTTTACCTTAGTGATATTTTAGGGATACATGTGTATGTCCATGACAAATTTCAATGAGTGAGTGAGTGAGGACAAGGTAGGTACTCACCCAGAGGCTCTTGAGTGTGAGAGCCTCCTTGACTGTGATCTTGGAGGGTGAGAGGCGACAGCTGGTCATGAAGGGAATACTATTAAACAGCCAGTGTTCGTACACCCCAGACTCCACCAGTCCTCGTAACCTACAGAAAACAATCACTATACAGGGTGTCTGTATGTTAGCTGACCCAATTTTAAACATAATGACCTCAACAAATATCACAGAGAGAACACAGTACACATGTGGAAGTCTGAGAAAAATAAAACCTTATGAGTTGTTCATTAATTCTAATAAAATCCTTAGCTGTATATATAATGTGTTTATGGTTATTAAATTTTAAGTTGGACCAGATACTTTATGAACCCTGTATAAAGAAGTAAACAACTATATAAGCAATGAGAAAGACAGTTATCACAAGTGGAATATTTATGAATTACCTGCTCAGTACATATTAAGAGCTGACTACGTTATTTCATCGTAATATAAACCAGCCTAATGCTCGCTTAATTTAACCTAACAAAGCTAACGTAACCACACCTTAAAGGTAACTTAACCTAACCTAAAGGTGACCTAACCAAACCTAAAGGTAACCTAACCTAACAACATGCAGGGCTCAGAGGCAGGACCAGATGATGGTTGAGGATTTTATAAACAAGGTCGTGTGTTGCTCACCTGTGGCTCATGGCTGGTACGATCGGGTTCCCTTTCTGGCCGATCATGCAGTGGTGGGTGGTGAAAAATGTCTGACGGGCCTTGTAGAAGTCACACTTTCCTGCAACAACCAGCAAATATCAGTGTTGTTATAACTAAAACCCACAGCCATTTATTGATAATAATTTATAAAGATCTTTTTCGGATAACATAAAGACACCCCAGTTTATTTTAGCTGATGATTAACCACTAATAACAACATGAAGGGTTAGGTTAGGTTAAGTATGGTTAGATTAAGTTAGCATTAGAGTGTTTCATTATTAGGTGAGATTAGCTGGGGTGTCTAATCTTCATCTAATCCTATTTTCTGCTAATGGAGCATCATGGAGAAGACAAATACAGAAGCAAACACATGAACAAAGTAATCTTCATCTTATTGTTGTCTTTGCTGAAATGAAGATGACTAGAAGAATGTTACTAGTCAACTGTTTACACTAATGTGGTTGTGGGTGTATGTAAGAGAGACACAGGGAAGAGAACAGCTGAGAAGTGTAGAGATCAACACACCGCAGAGGAAGATCTTATTTTGTGGTGTTCAAATAGTATATGGTTGAGTGAGCAACTAATAGATCTGGGATGGATCACTAAAGTAATAATAAAATATTATGAACAAATTGAACATTAAACTACGATGGAAGAGTGAGAAACAGATCAATGGGCAAGTGTTTTGGTGTGAAGGGAAGACGGGAGTCAGCACTGGATTACTGATTTAGACTCATCGTTTCACACACGATTTTACCACAAACTCCAGAAGGCAGAGTTACATCCCATGAAGGGAACAGGTCTCTGAAAAAAGATAGGCATTTCAGAGGAGGAGAGAGAGTAACAGATTCCAAAAGACACCACAGCTCTCTGAATCAGTTTAGGCAAGATCACAGATAAGCTGGTGCTCTAGTATACAGAGAGAAGAGTATATTCTGTGAAACTGGAACATGTGTATCGAAGTACCTGTTTTGGCGAAGAGGTTAGCGATGAGGAGGTCGGCCGAGAGGGTGGGGCCGATGATGACGTGACGCTGGTGACGCACGTGTGTGTTCATGGAGTGGGGGTTGTCCTTGGCCAGCTGGTACAGCACACGGCCTACGTACTTCAGGTCATTCAGGTCCTTCAGATCACCGGATTTAATTTTCTGCGAATATTTAGTAAGAGGTCTTCTTATTATTAAGCTCATTTACTTCAGTAGACGAGATTTTTTACAACTTTGTTCACTGTTCTTATGAATGCATTATCAAAGTCACTTCCAGGCAGTTCCCAGCAGTATCATATTCAGATATGCTGATATTCTTGTACATACTAAATCTCATCGTGAAATGCAAGCCACCCTGAACCACGTACACGCAGTCTGCAAGAACCTAAAGTGTTCAACAATGAAGGTGGTAATGGTAAATGTGTACCCGCCTTGTTTAAGATAGGTAACAACACTATTGTCTATGTTTCTTCTTTTAAATATCTTGGTGTTTCCGTCCCTTGTACAGTCACTCATAAAAGTTCGTGGGGGTCTCCGTGTGTGTGGGTGAATCCCATCTTCACCCTTTTCTGGACGACAGGTCTCTGGGCACGGGACAATGCACACACGAACATAAATGGTGAAACTGTTGTAACTGTGTTCAATTAAGACCTTTTTTTGACAGGAATATTTGTCCACGCAAATATTGGTTTATGTCATATAATGTTTACACATTTCCATTTGTGTTACAGCATATGAAGGTTAAAATTGTCGTGGGCAATATGACCACAGTCCTCTGTTACCTGAACCATAAGACGCTTCGATATGTGAAGACGAAGCAATACCATAGAGCGGGAGTGGAGGAGGAGGGGGTAAAGAGGAGGTCTTGCCAGGTGGAGACTAGACGAGAGGGGTGAAGTGTTTAGCTGCCGCTCTGCTATACTAATTGAGGTAAAATTCTTATATTAATAAAGATGACAATGTTATGTTATATATGTTAAGCATACGAAACTTTCACAGTTCCGTTCTTTTAATTCGACCGATTACTCTCTATAAATGGCTCGGTGTGTTTGCTCCAGTAGACTGTTGCCTTAGACTCGGGACTGTTCCATTACGACGTTGGCCAACCGCTTCACTGCTCATTGTTTCGAGTCTTCGTCTACTTCGAATGTTTTATTACCTATTATTCAGAATGGGTTTGTGTTGGATATATAGAGGAATATATGAAGAAGATAAATTATACTCCGTTAATGGTAGATACTGCCTGAGTTGAACTCTTAACGGTTAACAATATTATTCATGTGGATACGAAGCAAGTTTTCGAACGGATTGGAATGCACCTCGACCTGCATTACCGTCGTCTCTGCTGCTTAATTACTGCTTAGAAATCAAAGGGGCTCTAACCTTCATATCTTATCATAGAACACTGAATGTGTAACCTGATTATGGCTAACTGATTGACAAACATAATCCTGTCTGACCTGATTACATAAAAGACACAGTTCTGCCTTGTGTGTGTGTGCGCGCGTTGTCACATCGCTATACACAGACTCGCCGTCCAGAAAGAGGTGGGGACTGGACTGGCGCACACACACACGGACCCCCAGGAACTTTTATGAGTAACTGTACCTTACCTGCCATACAACAGCTGACCCGCCAATGACAGACTTAAACGTTTTAGAAGTGTAGCGGCGTACAACCTACATTATGGTGCTAATATTAGAATTGTTAAAACAAAGTACCCAGGCTATTCAATAGATCTTTGATGGACCACGCACCAGCCCTGGGCCTTCGTGGCGGTAAAGATATTAAAAGGCCCGAACAAAAATGCAAAATACAGCCTTCAGAATTATACACAGATGTGAATAACAGTGTACGGCCAGATACTGCCTCACACTGCTGTACTCACGCAGTTTTTAAAAAGTCACCCTCTATGTACAGAACTAAACAAACAATGTATATATAATACTCTGTAACAGTCAATGATATAATATCCTGACCACTGGGGTTTGTTAGACACACCACTTGTGACCTCTACTTTGTAATCCTTTTGTGCTACCGCTCACAGGATGACTATATGGTGCACAATAAACTAGCCGATGTACATAGTAAATTTCAAATTCATGGCTGGGCTCTACCAGGTACTTGGCAGGCACTCACTGATATGATGTCTGTGACGACGGTGTTGGGAGTCATGATGACGGTGACGCTGGAGTCTTGGACGGCGTCTCTGATAGATTGTAGGGGCTGAGGCACGTGACGCACCGCCAGGAGGGAGATGAGAGTACCACTGTAACTCCACATCAACATCATAGCCACCACCATCCACCCGCCCACCACCAGCCTCTCCCGCCCACTGCTTGTCTTCATCGACAGATCTGGAAACATTCAAACAGATACTCGTAATATAAGAGATGTGTGTTGTGGGTGAGGAACCTAATATACGTGTGTCCTGTAACCGTGGTACTTGTAGAGCTGTAATATAAGGCGACAGTAATGACATGAATGGAAATGTAAGTTCCTGCCAGACTAGTTCCCCTAAAACGTTTGACTGAGGACCAAACCCTCTGATTTTTTTTATGTTGCTAGAACAAATGGTAATTATATAGGACTAAAACGCGAGCGAAATTGATTGAAAACAATAATAAAAACGCCGGATTTTTATTGTTTTATTATAGTGGACATTGTTGTAGTTTGTGGAAATATGTTAAAATTTGCATATTTTTCAAATAAACTTTACATAACTTTTGTGGGTATGAAAAACAGACCTTATCAACCTAACCATGCAAACCTACCTAACTTTACCTAATTTTCTTGCGTGAACTTACTATGATATGGTGAAATTTGAGGTATTTTCTGGATGTGAGATGATACGGCCGCATCCTCACTATGCAGCCCCGGCGGTGGAGTGATTTATTTTGATGGCGGGAAACGTCCAGCCACGGCGTTGAGGAAGTAATGAATAAATTTCTTTACAGTCTGTAAGCAAAGGAATTCCCGCGGTGTGGACAGTCTCTATTTAAAGGAACAATGCCGTGGTCTTTGAACAATTTAAGGCTCGCGTTGTTTTTATTCCTAAATTCGCAAATTACGTACATGTAAGTCAGGCGACAACCTTCACACGACATGCCGAAAAACAACTGCCCCGGGCGCGGTAAAAGCGCCTCAGCTAAGCGAGGACTTATTGCGGCCCGCAAAACAAATTAGTACGCGTCTAGGCGCCTAATTATCTATGAAAGGAAAAATTTCCACAATAAATGATTATGATATCAGAACTCACCCATGAAAATAATGTAAGATAAAAAAACAGTAATAAAACAAACTTCTCCGCGGGTTAGTCCTATACATCAACCCCAAAAATATATTTGCTTTGAATTATTTCTTTATAAATAGGTTACATAAAAAATAATAACACAAGTATTCGAAAGAGAGAGAACAGGTAATCCTACATACATCACCTAAATGGAAATATTAATAAATTAGAAATTTTTTTTTATAAGGACACTGTAGAAATAAATGACATACGCATATCATTACGCACAACTAACCTGCCAATTAGAAACTATTTTTACCTTCATTTCGCCAGAGTAAACTACTGCTATACCAAGATATTTGTAAACACTAACAGCTGTTGACTCCTCTATCAGTAAACTGTACAGTTTGTCTCCAATAGCAATGGTTAGGCCTGACATGAAAATAATGAGGGTACATGATGTTTTTAATTACTCCACTACATTTTGATCTTCGAATTTGTATCATAAATGCAATCTTACTATCAGTGAAAATTTTTTTTACATTACAACTGACGCATGTTCTGCAATCAACACTGCCGTTCACCCTTTAGCCACCTGTGTTTCACTTGTTTTTCTAACAGCTTGAAATAGCAGTGTCGGTTGTCTGGTAAAATTTTTTTACATTCTTTATACTTTTTATTTAGCATGAGCTTTCAGGTCGCATAATTTGTATGCTAAAAGTACCGAGTACTACTAACTGAAAGAATTTACACTGTGGCATACTCTCGCCTCCCTCCTTTTTTCTGTTCAGTCAACCAGTTTTCTAGCGTTAGATAGTGTAGCCACTCCTTTCGGAACTTCTGTGAATACTGAGTATTAGGCATTTTGCTGTTAACCAATAATTGTCCCAATTAACGTTAATTATTCATTAATCACTTAAAGTAAACCCGATTTCCAGCAGGGCAGCAAACAGACCGAGTCACGGGGAACGGGAGAGGTGTGGCAGGGGGAGGGAATGGAAGAGCCAGGAGTGAATAGAAATGACCGACAGTCATCCGATATGCCCTGCCATCCCGCTAGAAAACCGCTATAACAAATGTATTAAGATTCCCAGTGGCCGCTAGATCCACTAGACTGAAAGAAAAACCTCCAGATTTAGCAAGAAAACAGTTAATATTGCAACACTAAGCCATGCAAATGACGTGTAGGTAGTGTCGAACCGAGCCCTGATACATTTTTCATTTGTGTTAAACAGTTTTCGTAATAAAATTTAACGTCTTCGGAACATTTTGAAGCAAGAATTAAAGTACTCAGGAAGATTTAAACACAACCGACAAATGTTCAAATGAATAAAATTATTGTAATGAAATAGAAAGTTATATCATCCTATTTAAGTTCAGTATAAGAGGCGCTACATTGACCAAGACACTGGGACGGGTGAAGCTGTCATGTGTTCCTGGGATACTAAAGACTGAGCGACAGTTTCCGTATACCAATTATCTTCTTGAAATGTGGAGCTCATCTGTAGACTGTATAGGGACGGTCATAGAGTTAATACAAACTATTAATGAATAAAATCTGTCCTTCGCTAACACACTGATTTAACTCCATTTAAGTAGAGTATGGCTGCGTTAAGATAGCGAAATATATGTTATATAAATAACATTTAAGGATTTAAAGCATTACTGGGAAAGAAATATGATCATATCGCTATAACCTGACTATATTGAACAAGAAAACATTTTACATTAATTACAATATGGCACAAAATACCCTGAAGCAGGACAATTCGGAAATGTAGGAAGAGGAGCTGTGAGACCCATGACAGGTGAGTCCAGGTCTTGGGTCTGCTGCCCAGGACCACCACCGCCAGACAGGCCACCAGGAGCGCCGCCACCAGCGCCGCCCACACCAGGGGCGTAAAGGGGTACAGGAACCCCCAGGGGTCCACCTCAGGCAGACCCTTCATGGCCAGTATACTACGGTCGTCGTAATAAAACGAGCTAGTATAATCGACAACCTTAAATCTGGCTTCGGAGATTCCAAAAGGTCCCAGAGCGATGTCCACCTCCTGTGGGGGAAGACAATGTTATTGTTGTTTGTGTCTCAGTGTCCAGTTTTTCTTAAGTGAAGGAAAAATAATGAAGGTGCATTCATAAATACAGATATTGCGAATTTCAAGTTCAATTGTGTAGCTTAGGAAGTACTACCACCAACACTTACCTGTCTGCTCACCTGCCCGACCATACCAGACCAAGTACCATTGGGCAGCTTGGCACCCCATGCCCGGTCTCCTGGTTGTACAATCTTGTACCTGTGAGTAGATGACCATTATTATCATCTTGTGTATGTTTCTATTAAGAGAGAGAGAGAGAGAGAGAGAGAGAGAGAGAGAGAGAGAGAGAGAGAGAGAGACCTATGTTATACTGAGCATGACAAGAATGAATAGTGTTAAAATAAGTATAACTTACGTAAAGTTAAGGGAGTCGGCGAGGGTAGTGAGGAGATCTGCCATGGGTCCGCCCACAGTGAGCTCTCCCCCTCCGCCCACAGCCTCCTCCACCACTATATGGGGAGGCCAGTGTACCGCTGACACCTCCAAGAAGGCTCCATTCTTAAATCTGTGAGTGTGACGTAATAATGATTAAAATAATAACCATAGATTCAATGACTATGATATTGACAATGATAATGGTAATCTGTGCAGCATGTCATAAGAATGATAAAAATGCTATGATATAAATGATAATGGTAATAGGATTATTATAGACGGTGCACAGTGGGTGAGTGGATACAGCGTTCACCTTCCATCTCGAGGGACGTTGGTTTACACCCCAGGTCCACCCCGTTACCTGTAGGTGCCGGGGTTCTCCTGGAGTCCACGCACCACGTCCGGGTCCTCAAGTACTTTCCTCAGGGGCTGAGCCATCTCTCCTATTTGGTAACACTGTGGTCACTCTGATCTACCTTGGTAGCAGTCTGGTGACTCCTTGAACTTGGTAACACAAGCTACAAATTCAGGAATAATAATAATAATAATAATAATAATAATAATAATAATAATAATAATAATAATAATAATAATAATAATAATAATAATAATACTTAAGGATTCACTTATAGTGCACAATCACCATAAGAATTAAAGCTTTGTTAATCATAATTTTTGCTCATTGATACAAAAACAACCACCACCACAACCACCAGTACTGCTACATTCACTACCACTGTTTCTACTACTACTACATTCACCACCACTCACCTACAGCAGCTGGAGTGTGGGAAGCTCACCACTTCACTGCTACACACCGACTAAGACCCAGGCAATGCGTCACACTCTATTTACACACACTGGAGGCGTTCATTACACCACCGTGAGGGAGAGCCGGACATGCGCCTTATGCCACCTATACGGTAACCTTATCTTGGAGAACGGACCTGTTGTGTTGCCGGTGTCTCAGCCTCACACAGATTGATATTCTTAAGAAATATTATCAAAGTACCACCACTCCCGTCAGCCACCACCACCCCCGTCAGCCACCACCACCCCTGTCAGCCACCACCACTCCCGTCAGCCATCACCACCCCCGTCAGCCACCACCATCCCCGTCCAGCCCACCACCACCCCTGTCAGCCACCAACACCCCCGTCAGCCACCACCACTCCCGTCAGCCACCAGTACCCCGTCTGCCGCCACCACCCCCGTCAGCCACCACTACCCCAGTCAGCCATCACCACCCGTCAGCCACCACCCCGTCAGCCACCACCACCCCGTCCTTCCCACCAATCCCGTCAGCCACCACCAACCCCGTCAGCCACCACGACTCCCCGTCGGCTACCAGCACCCCGTGAGCCAACACCACCCCGTCAGCCACCACCACCCCGTCAGCCACCACCACCCCGTCAGCCACTACCACCCCGTCAGCCAACACCACCTTCAGCCACCCACCACCCCGTCAGCCACCGCCACCTCCGTCAATACCAGCCACCACCACCCCGTCAGCCAACACCGCCCCGTCGGCCAGCACCACCCCCGTCGTAACACCACCCCAGTGCCCCACCACCACCTCCGTCGGCCACCAGCCACTACTGCCCCCGTCGTACACCACTGCCCCGTCAGCCACCCCTCCAAATCCAGCCTCACCCCCCTTCCAGCCACCACCACCCCGTCAGTCACCACCACCTCCGTCGGCCACCAGCCACTACTACCCCCCGTCAGCCACCACCGCCCCGTCAGCCCACACCCCACTCCCGTCAAGCCATCACCACCCCGTCAGCCACCACCACCCCGTCAGCCACCACCCACCTCATCGTACCGGCCTTCTACCCCGTCGGTCACCACCACCCCTCCCCGATAGCCACCACCACCACCCCCCGTCAATACCACCACCCTGTCAGCCACCACCACCCCGTCGTACCACCCACCCCGTCAGCCGCTATCTACATTAAACTTGAATTACCGCTACAGATATCACCACCCCCGTCGAAGTTAGATATCTGCTGCCAACACCACTTAAGTTAAAGTTATACATTAAACTTGAATTACCGCTACAGATATCAAGTTTATTAAGTGATCGAAGTTAGATATCTGCTGCCAACACCACTTAAGTTAAAGTTATGATAGATTTAGTTAATATAGATTAGGTTAAGATAGGATAGGACAATTTAGGTTAGGTTTCGTATCGCATAATGCTATTGTCGATAACATATTTAAATTACAACCATTACTATTACAACTACTATTATTAACACTAGTCTACTACTGCTGCAACTACTATAATAATAATAATAATAATAATAATAATAATAATAATAATAATAATAATAATAATAATAATAATAATAATAATAATAATAATAATAATAATAATAATAATAATAATAATAATAAATAAATAAAAAGAAACAATAATAATACAACTACAACTACTACTACTATTACTACTACTACTACTAATACTACTACTAATAATAATGACCAGACCAAAGAGCTGCACGTGGCTCCTGAGGCAGCAGTAATTATTCTCAGAGTTACTTTTACCAATTAATGTACTCTGTAAATGTCAACAGGTGAGACAGCAAGACAACTGTAGACGGAACCATAAAATATTACTCACCCGTGACTTTAGCCATTAATAAATGTCGGTGGTGCAGTTAAGGCAGATGAGAATCCCTAATCACCTGGTTTAACTCCCTTCATTAATACAGTCAGTGAGACTCATCTATTATGAAAGTCCAATTAGTGCTCAGGTGATATAATTAATCGTAATTAGAAGGTTGTGAAGTGAGGAAGTGAATAAAGGAGTAGACAGGAACAGGTGATGATAGCAGTCTTAATTTATTTCGAGTCTGGCTCTCTTAATATTGACGAAGGAGGTTAGTGTGTGGTGGGAACTGGCATACCTGGACTGGTCCTGTTAGTGGGTGACTGACTGTGTGGTGGGAACTGGCATACCTGGACTGGTCCTGTTAGTGGGTGAGTGACTGTGTGGGGGCAACTGGCATACCTGGACTGGTCCTGTTAGTGGGTGACTGACTGTGTGGTGGGAACTGGCATACCTGGACTGGTCCTGTTAGTGGGTGAGTGACTGTGTGGGGGCAACTGGCATACCTGGACTGGTCCTGTTAGTGGGTGACTGTGTGGTGTGACTGGCATACCTGGACTGGTCCTGTTAGTGGGTGACTGACTGTGTGGTGGGAACTGGCATACCTGGACTGGTCCTGTTAGTGGGTGACTGACTGTGTGGGGGCAACTGGCATACCTGGACTGGTCCTGTTAGTGGGTGACTGACTGTGTGGTGGGGACTGGCATACCTGGACTGGTCCTGTTAGTGGGTGACTGACTGTGTGGTGGGAACTGGCATACCTGGACTGGTCCTGTTAGTGGTTGAGTGACTGTGTGTGGGACTGGCATACCTGGACTGTTAGTGGTGAGTGACTGTGTGGGGGCAACTGGCATACCTGGACTGGTCCTGTTAGTGGCCTGTGTGTTGGCATACCTGGACTGGTCCTGTGGGTGACTGACTGTGTGGTGGGAACTGGCATACCTGAACTGGTCCTGTTAGTGGGTGACTGACTGTGTGGTGGGGACTTCCATTCCTGGACTGGTCCTGTTAGTGGGTGAGTGACTGTGTGGTGGGGACTGGCATACCTGGTCTGGTCCTGTTAGTGGGTGAGTGACTGTGTGGTGGGGACTGGCATACCTGGTCTGGTCCTGTTAGTGGGTGAGTGACTGTGTGGTGGGGACTGGCATACCTGGACTGGTCCTGCTAGTGGGTGAGTGACTGTGTGAGTGGCAACACTTATGACAATTAGTGACTGGTAGGAAGATACACTCATTGTATATGAACTTGTTAAGGAACTAAATAAACCTTCGGCATGTAACGGAACCTAACATTAATTTAATCTCATTTTCCCAAAACCAAACCAAACCTAACCTAACATAACATAACCTTATCTAACCTCACCCAACCTAACATAACATAACATTAAACTAACCTATCCTAACCTAGCCTAGCCTAGCCTAGCCTAACCTCACCCACATGCTGAGGATAGCGCAGGGTAGGAAGGCCTTCAGCAGTGTCCCCACGAATATACGTGTCCGCTTAATCTGTCAGCATTGGATGATGAGACATATTGTAATGATGACTTTAATAAGAATAAACTAATGACGATCACAAAATTAGTAATTATATAAGAGCCATGGTGGTGTACTCGTATTAAGTTACAGACTAACCTACTGTATACACGTACCTCTGAGAAAATCCCAACTTCAAGAGATTAAGTGGATGTACTCGTGGATTTATTTGACTGTACTCAAGGAAATAAGTGGCTGTACTCAAGGGGTTAAGCTATCATACTCAAGGGGTTAATGGATCTTACACTAAGGTTCATTCACAGTGCTCAGGGGAGGAGGGAACGTCACTGTTCTGAAGATCAGGAACAAATGAAACCCCGTAGTTAAGAGTGGCGTGACGTCACACATTCACCGTCACTCACCCGCCATCACTCACCCACTGTCACTCATCCACCGACACTCACCCAGCATCACTCATCCATCGTCATTCATCCGCCATCACACACCTTTCGTCAAACACCCGCCGTCACTCACCCACCATCACTCACCCGCCGTCATTCACCCTTCGTCACTCACCCGTCATCACACACCTACAGTCACTCACCCTTCGTCACTCACCCGTTATCACTCACCCGTCAACACTCACCCGCCATCACTCATCCGCCGTCAAACACCGACCGCCACTCACCCGCCTTCACTCACCCGTCATCACTGATCCACCGTCATTCACCAGCTATCACTCTTTCACCGTCACTCATCCGCCGTCACACACCCACCGTCACATACCCACTGTCACTCACCCGCCATCACACACCTTCTGTCACTCACCCGCCATCATTTACCCACCGGCACTCACCCGTTGTCACTCACCCCGTCTTCACTCTCCAACAGTTACTCACCAGTCGTCACTCACCCTTCGTCACCTACTCGCCATCACTTAACCGCCGTCACTCACCTGCCGTCAGTCACATGCCGTCACTTACCCTTCATCACTCACCCTCTATCACTCACCCTCCATCAATCATCCGCCATCACTCACCCGTCGTCACACACCCTTCGTCACTCACCCACCGGCACTCACACGCCATCATTCACTCGTCGTCACTCATCCACCGTCATTCACCCGCCATCACTCACCCGCCGTCGCACACCCTTCGTCACTCACCCACCGGTACTCATCCGCCATCATTCCACTCCGTCCACCATCCATCCACACCCGCTATCACTTACCCGCCATCACACACCCTCCGTCACTCACCCGCCGACACACACCCGCTATCACTCATTCACCGTCACTCACCCGCCATCACACATCACCGGCACACACGTGCCGTCACACACCCGCCGTTACTCACTCGCCGTCATTCACCAACCGTCACTCACCCGTCGTCACTCACCCGTATTCACTCACCCACCATCATTCACACCACCGTTTCTCACCCTTGGTCACCCACTCGCCGTCACTCACCTTCCATCACCTACCCGTTATCAATCACCCGCCGTAACACCCTTCGTCACTCGCCCACCGGCACTCACCCGCCATCATTCACCCGTCGTCACTCATACACAGTCATTTACCCGCCATCACACACCCGCCATCACTCATTCATCGTTACTCACCCGCCATCACATACCCACCGTCATAAACCAGACATCACTCACCCGCCATCATTCACCCGCCGTCACTCACCCACCATCACTCACCTACCGACATTCATCTGTCATCACTCTCCCGCTATCATTCACCCACCGTCACTCACCCTTAGTCACTCAACTGCCATCACTCACCTGCCATCACTCACCCGCCCTCTCTCACCCTCCATCACACACCTTGAGGGAGACTGTGGTGGAGGTGGCCGACCCCGTCCTGGACTTCCTCAGCTCTGACACATGAAACAGCCCCGAAGTAGAAAACTCACTCAATTCTACCTTGATGGCCTGTGACGGTGACAGAGAGACTGGCTATAATGTGGACCTAACCTAACCTAACCCAACCTAACCTAAACTAAGATAACTTAACCTAAGTTAATTTAACCTGATGTAGCCTAACATGACTTAACCTATTCTAACCAAACTTACCATAACCTAAATTAATCTTACGAACTTAACCTAACTTAATCTAACCGAACCTGACCTAACTTAACCTAACCTACTCTGACTAACCTTATAATCTCGCCTATGCTAACCTAACTTAACCTAACCTAAACTAACCTCACTTAACCTGAAGGCAAGACACTCTAACCTAACGTAACTTAACGTAACGTAAGTTAATCTAACCTAACCATGACCATACCTCCTCCACAAATTCTGAGATGAAGGAGCCATGGTTGATGATGGAGAAGTTGAAGAAGCACTGATGGATGTCAAAGGGGTAGAGAGCCAGGTTAAAGTCACACATGTAAGACACCATGAAGTCCTCCACCTTCAGGATCTTGGCGTCCCCCTGGCCAGAGTACACCAGACCTGTTGAACATGATATTTTTTGGTTAATATTAGCTAAGCCCAATGACATGTGTCTCTCCAATCACCTTCCTTTCACTACCACTAAACGTAAGGACGTAGAGTGAGGGGCGATATGATAAAGGTGTATAAATGGAACTCAGGGTTAAACAAATGTGATATAACAAAGGTATTTAAATTATCCAACCAGGAACGAACTTGTAGCAATGGTTTTAAATTAAACAGTTTAGCTTTAGGCGCTAAATAGGTAAACATTGATTTAGGAATAGATTAGTGGATGAGTGGAACAGGTTACCAAATATCATCATTAAATCGAACTCGCTGGATACCTTCACATATAGGTTGCATGAATATATGAGCGATAGGGGTTGCCTAGTATGGGACCAATAGGCCCCCGCTGCAGTCTCCATTCTTATGATCTTATGAACTGTGGTTGGTCTGAGACAAGTTTGGGGTCGGGTAGATTGAATTTTAGCTTTGTACATTAGATTAGTTTAACAACCATTAAGGTAGGGTGGCTATGGTTAGGTTAAGCTTGGTTAACCTCGAGTTAACAGTGATTTGTTACAACACTTCCAATGATCACTTGAGAATTAGGGAAGATGTCCACCAGAAGTTTCAACACCGTAGACAAGGCAAAGTTTACTTAAGGTAATAACAGTTAATTAAATTGTTATCAACTAAGTATGGTAGAGGGTAGGTAAAACAAACAGTGACAGTTATATTATACTTAAAAATGCTTATTTACAACCTGTACAAACAATAATCATAATGAGTCCTAGGAGCAGGTAAAAAATTGTCATGTATTCTTACTAAAATCACAGAAGTACATGATTATACATTAGGTAAACACTGGTAAGAATGATAGAAGGTGATTCTCTGTGTATTGGCACTAAGAACCACGTAAGTAAAGACAATGATTCTCTTATGTTACAGAAAGATTCCCTCGTATTGGCGACAGTCTTATAAATACACAACTAAATGACAGTAAGGTAAGTTTGTCTCGTCACTAGTTGATCGGTGTTTCACAAAAAGTAGGGGGCTCTTAGAATTCAGTTATTACACACAGCATAGCTAAGGCTTGTACAAGACCCAGAGGACAGAAAAAAGGTAAGGACTTAGTATTTACGATGAACCGATATGTAGGTTGGACGCACGAAGGACTCGTAGCAGTACTGAAGAGATGACCAGTAAGCCGAATACTGTATGGGTTTTAATAGTAAGTTAGGGATGTGAGATAGTGAATGACCCCTCCTACAGAATTAAGGGTATTATAAATAAATTAGATCATGATAGGTGATGTTATGTCACTTTCGGTTAGGTTTGTTACGTTGAGTTTCAGTTGAATAGATAAGGTTAGGTAATATTATCGACTCACGCGCAGCCATTATCCAGCTCGTCATACTCCTCATCATCATCATCATCAAAACCCCTGTACTCCAATAGTCCTATGGCGATGGACGAGCGGTGACGGGGAAAGGCAGAGATGGCTGCCGGAGTCTCTAGTCACAACTCTGAACATGGGCGGCACTGATAAGATGGTCGTTTATGCACTGGGATCTAGGCAGCAGTGCAATCCCGTCCTGTCTGTGCGACGGAACAGCCATTTTTGAGGAGCCACTCTGCTCACCCCACATGGGGAGGGGGCAAGAAAAGATGCCCTAAACATAGCCTGCCTAAATACCCAACCTGACTGGACAATTACACCCCGTAAGGTCATCCTTATGCGGTTGAAAACACAATCCTAATCACAGATCAAAGCAAAAATAAGTTAAACAACTTCTTATGGTCACTGCATGGAATGTCAGGACCCTTCTGGATGCTGGCACAAATGAGCATCCTGAAAGAAAAACCGCCCTTGTGGCAAAAGAGCTTGTTAGGTATAACATCGACATAGCAGCCAATAGTAAGTCCCGCCTCCCAGATGAGGGCCAACTCACAGAACGGGGGTCTGGCTACACCTTCTTCCGGAAGGGTAAGCTTGCTGCGGAGAAAAACTGCATTTATGGAGTTGACTTTGCCATCTGTCAGTTCATCCTCCACAGGCTAACCGGAATGCCTATTGGGGTCAAAGAGCGCTTCATGAAGCTCAGAGTCCCACTTAATCACTTACGTAATGCCTTATTCATCAGTGCATACGCCCCAACACTGGATGCAGAGGATGACATCAAGGAGGCCTTTTACGCCGACCTTGACAGAGTGCTAACCTGTATCCCCAGAGAAGATTAGGTTGTGCTCCTTGATGTCTTCAATGCCAGAGTTGGCAGAGATGCTAACATTTGGCAAGGACTCATAGGGAGAAATGAACTTGGCAAGTTTAATCCCAACGGCCTACTCCTCCTCAGCAAGTGTGTTGCACACAACCTAAGTATCATCAATACCTTGTTTGGCAAACAGACAAGTTCAAGGGTTCGTGGCAACACATACGATCCAAACACTGGCATCTCCTTGACTCTATCATGTCAGAGAAAGAGATCGACGAGCTGTCTTCATCACCTGAGCTATGCGTGGCTCAGACGACTGTGACACTGATCATCGGCTCATCAAAGCCATGCTCTCACTTCATGTTTCCCCAAAATGGCGAAAAACAAGCCTCCAGAAGAGGTTTTAACATTAATTGTCTGGAGGATCCGGCAGTAGCAACGTGCTTTCACAGAAAAGCTCGAACATGTGCTGATAAACAACCTAAATCCCAGGGCTGAATGGTGTATTTTCGACAATGTCATGACAAAAACCTGCAGAGAGACCCTCGGCCAGATCGAAAGAATACACCAGGAATGGTTTGATGAAAATGACCCGGAAAACAATGTACTCGTCAATGATAAAAGTCTGCTTTAACTGAATGGCTGAACAACCCTTAGTCTCGGACCAAAAGCTGGTTTAAAAATAAAGCACGTGAAGCACGAAAACTTGCACATCAACACAAGATGCACGAATTATTTAATTCCACTAAACCATTTTATAGGTCAATCACCCGTGGTGTAGCCCCCTTCCGCTCTTCCGACGGTGACTCCCTAATTAAAGACGAAGAAGGTATGCTTCAGCACTGGAAAGAGCACTACCATTTGCTGTTCAACCGAAACATAGATGTGAATGTCCTGACACCCAGCATGTCCATGAGCATCCAGCATGGACCTATCACAGCTATCCTGCATCCCTGGATGAGGTAGCTACTGCCATCAAACAGATGAAAAATAACAATGCCTCAGGGCCTGATGGAATCACAGCCTAGGTGTATAAAGCAAGAGGACCTCTGCTTACCAGCCGTCTCCACTCTCTCCTGGAGAACATACTGGAAAAGGAAGAAATCCCCCCAAGCTCCTAAAGACGCTTCCATTGTCAATATTTATAAGAACAAAGGAGACCAGTCAGACTGTGGCACTACCGTGGGGTCCTCCTGCTGTCTGTAGCTTGGAAGATCATCGCCCGAGTCTTCCTAAAGAGACTTCTTCCTGAGGCAAAAGACTTCACCCAGAATCTCAATGTGGCTTTAGACCATCACGTAGCACAACTGACGTGATCTATGCTGCCCGCCAGATCCAGGAAAATTACGAAGAACATCGTCATTACCTGTACATGGCCTTCATCGACTTTAATAATGCCTTCGACCCGGTCAACATGAAAGGCCTCTGGTGGACCCTCAGCCATTTTTGCTCTCCACCAAAATTCATGATCATTGTGAGGCATCACCATGATGGCATGAAAGGCAGTGTCCTGCACAATGGTAACCAGTCCGAGTTCTTCCCCATCCAAACGGGGGTAAAACAAAGATGTGTACTGGCGCCAGCTGCGGTGTCTACAAAATACTCAGACTCTCTTTAAAGCTGCCCCTGGTTCAGGCACACCTCTACCATCCATTCAGCTTAACTGTACTACCCTCTATAATGTTACCCACTTTCGGGATCTCGGCCACCACCTGTCCACCACCACGGACATCGATAAAGAGATTCAACATCGTATCAGATGTACAGTATCATTCAAGATTCTTGGAACACTGCTAGAGACAACTGGCAACTCAAGGCTGTTTGTTTACTATAGTACGTAGTATAATATAATACGAATCAACAAAGTCTAACAGTTAAATTAAGCAACGGGGCACTAAGTAACCAATCACCGATCACTTTTGCATTTATTCATAATTTTTACTATGTACTAAAGTAAATAAACAGCCTTGAGTTGCAAGTTGTTTCCAGCAATGTTCGAAGAATCTTGAACGAGACTGTACATCTCAAGCCTTTAGCAGACTCCCTACCAATGTTTTCAGCTGTTGGGAGATAAAATTATCTACAAAGTTGCATGTATTTCGAAGAGTGGACCTTCCTATCCTGTTATATGGCAGCAAGACATGGGTCAGATACAGTAGGCACCTCAAGGCATTTGAAAACTTTCATTAACGTAGTCTCCTTTCAGTCCGCCGAGTTCACTGGGAAGACAAGGGAACAAATGCCAGTATTCTCGCTGACACCAACTGTAGGAGCATCCATGAACAACCACGTTTGGTTGGCCATGTTACTCGCATGGACGAAAGTAGACAGCCATAGGAGCTACTTCACAGTCACCTAACGAAGAGTAAATGCAGTGATGGTGGGCAATTGAAAAGTTGAGACAAACCTGAGAAAGTGCCAAATCGACTCCCTCACCTAGGAGACGATTACTCCACACCATGACGCTTGGAGGAGCACCACACGAGAAGGTGTCAATACTTTCGAGTTAGACCGACTGCAAACCATGGCAGACAAGCGCCAACCCTGGAAAGACGCTGCTGCCGCCGCCCTTCCCTCACTACATTTTCCCTCTACATGTACGTACAACATCTGTGATCGACACTGCCGGTTCCGCATTGGCTTCTCTAGTGACCTCAGAGCTCACCAACGTAGGTAAAATCCATAATAACTCATATCATTTTACCATAGCTGGAAGATCATCATACTCGATTCCGAGTGAAAGCAAATTAGTAGTGGTATGTGTTTGTGTGTGTGTATCAAAATTTCTGCACACAGAAGACACAGGTAAAATGGTTGTTTATGCATTGGGATCTTGGCAGCAGAGCAATTTGGTGCTGTCTATACGACTGAGCAGACCTTTACAGCTCACCCCACATGAGGAGGGGGCTAGAAAGGGTGCCCTTAACATCGCCTGCCTAAAACTTACCTAACTGGGTTGATTCACAGAATAGGAGTTAATTGCTATACCTTCGTCTGGAAGGGTAAGGCCTCTAAGAAGTGAAATTGCATTTACGGAGTTGACTTTGCTATTCGCCAATCCATTTGCATAGGCTGACTGAAATTCCTGTTGGGGTCAACGAGCGCCACATAACTCTTGAGTCCCACTGAACGACACACGTCTTGATTCCTTCATTATTGTACAAGCCCCAACACTAAATGCAAAAGCATGATATCAAGGAGGCTTTTCACACTGACCTTATCAGAATGGTAGTCTTTATCTCCAGAGAAGATAAAGTTGTGCTCTAGGGCGACTTTTCATTGCCAGAGTATACAGAGATACTGAATTATGGCATGGAATCATAGGGAGAAACGGAGTGGCACTTGTAATCCCAATGGCTTACTCCTCCGTAAGTGTGCTGAACACAGATATGACCAACACCATATTTAAACATTGAAAGAGATCGACGATAAGTCTTCCTTACAAGAACCATGAGAGGCTTAGACCAATCTGAGAATATTTTTCTTGGCTCATCAGTGCAAATGCCCCCCTTCATTTCGCCTCAAAGCGGAGAAGGCAACGAGCCTCCAAAAGTAGCTAACCACCAAATGACTGGAGGATCAAGTGGTTGAACACGCATTCAGGGAGCAGCTCGATGAAGGACTTATAAACAACCTAACACCGATGTGAATGTCTTAACTCCGTAGAAGGTCCGCCCAGTGCACCGGAGCTTGCCCGTCATGAAGTAGCTTCCGTCATCAGGCAGATGAAAGAAAAGAAAAACACAGGACCTGATCGCCAATTATTCACTGGCGACGACTGTGTCGGTGATATCTGCTCAGTTTTTTGTTATGTAGACAGCAGAAGACTGCAGTGATGAGGCCTTGATTTCTCCCAGTGTCGGGTTCGGCACATACTAGGTGTTTATATACGAGGTGTATATAGAGTCTTTTGCGGAGGGCTTAAGCAAGCTTAACATATCACGCGGAGCATAAGCTGCTGTTACACGAGATGTACTCAAATGATGCAGAGACCAGGTTGTATTGAGCCGCCATGCCGGGTGGACTTGGTAACTTACCCGGTGGACCTCGGGCAGGCCAGTCTTCAAGGGTTTCACTATTCACCCCACTGCTTGTTGCTCCACTAGGCAGGGGATTAGGAGCAATTTCTCTCCTCGACTTTTCAATTGATGAATTATCTTTTATTTAAGTGATTTATGCTTGCTAGTGATCATTGGCAGAATTGTGGTAGTTGATTCGCATACTGGAAATGAGATAGTTGTAGTCCATGTGAACCCTTGAGGTCTATTTAGCACTTTGCTTCTCCATTTTTCTCTCCACATTTTTCTTCACTTGTCTTAGTAATGTTAACTTCCTTCTCATTCGCCTTTGTGTGAAAGGTCGCCATTAGATCCAGCTTATCTTTTGATATATCTATGTTGTGGATTTTTGTACAATCGAAGCACCAGAGACCACATGACTCTGTTATGGCAACACTGACCATTACGCCAGAATGACATCAGCTAACTATGAGTTTTCCCAAGTTATCTCTAGGGCATGCCCCATTTCCTCACCTCCCTGGCTAAGAGTGGTGAATCTCGTGCCAGCGACATGTATCTACTAAATACGCCTAAGTCCAAAACCTCACAACAGTCCAACAGCTTCAAAACAATCCTTATATCTCTCTACCTCAGCCACTGACTTCCTTTGTGCACAAATACTCTAAAAATAATGCTGAAAACCAGGACTTAACTCACACCACAGTGTTGGAGAGAATCCCACTTTCTTTGACACTGAATACTGATTCTTCTGATAATCAGTGATATTTTGATTAGTTAGAATAATACTTGTTTACTTTTTACGACAAATGCATGTGGATGATATAAGTACTGAATTTCGAAGAATAAATTGTATATCATACGTTTTGTTACTAATTTGCTCACCAGCATTTGGGATGAATACTAAGTGATACTTCTGTGAATGGAGGAAGAGCCATATAATGAGATTAAAATTGATAAATTACTAAATTAGTTGGGCCACAAGGCCATGCGGTGTCACTGTCCGTATCCTTGTTTTACTGAATACATAATACCCATGTTTTACAGTAAATATAATACCCATGTTTTACAGTAAATATAATACCCATGTTTTACAGTAAATATAATACCCTTGTTTTACAGTAAATATAATACCCTTGTTTAACAGTAAATATAATACCCTTGTTTAACAGTAAATATAATACCCATGTTTTACAGTAAATATAATACCCATGTTTTACAGTAAATATAATACCCTTGTTTTACAGTAAATATAATACCCTTGTTTTACAGTAAATATAATACCCTTGTTTAACAGTAAATATAATACCCTTGTTTTACAGTAAATATAATACCCTTGTTTTACTGTAAATATAATCACTGTTAATGGTTATAAGTTAGTAATTCTCAGTCCTGCCTCAATTTGCACAGTATAGTGAATAGTTCCCTTGGATGTATTCTCACAGTGTATTATATTAATGTCGTGTTCAACTATCGGCCCAAACTAGCATGAAGTGTCTACATGATCCTGGTCTGTTAACCAATGCCTTTATTTCGGAGGGTCGAGATGCCAAGGGATTGAGCCACAGGGGCCTGTGTAGGACCTGTCTATTGTTTATGATATTGTTCTTAGTTCATTATTTCCAACATAAGAGGTTCAGGCTTCGGAATGTGGGGATTCAGTAATGGCGTTTATACCTGAGAGTTTCCCTGGACCACAGAGGTGTGTTATTTTCACCCAACACTATATGATAGAGGTTAATGTTTCTCTTTTGTTCATAGAACTTGGTCAGCAATAACCGATACTTCAACACTGAAGGTCAGGTCCGTCATATAGTGTACGGGAGGAGTACTGTTCATATACAGAGGTGTTATATTTTGACTTTGACTTTTGTTATACCACAAACAGAAGTCATCAAGGTCACCATCTGTCGAGGGGGTGAGATATGTCTCTCTTATCCCAGCTGATAATAATATAAAACCACCTGACCGAAAATTGTCTTAAAGCCAGATATTATTTGGTAAATATAACGAAAAACAGAACAAATCTAAGTCTATTCTTATGGCAAAATTTTAGATGTGATGATTTTATTATAAATTTTGAGTTGTTAACAATACATTATAACTTAGAGTCAACAGACCCAGTGCGATGAAACAAGACAACTTGGTGAAGAGACCCGGCTGAGAGACTCCTAACCAGCGAGGTCGCCTGGCACGGGGTCACCTCCTACAGTTTGGAAGTTGTTAAATACAATTCTATCCGAAACTTACATTTATATGATCACAATAAAAAGTTAACATAATATTTTCCCTTTAGCAAAATCTTAACTGTGCTACAATTATTTTAACAGGTAAAGATGTTGTTGCCTATGCTAACAACATCAGTGAAATGTTTCCCGAGTAAAGTATTAACAGCATCTAGGGGAGTCGTCTGGAAGGTGTTCCAATACATAATGTAGGTGAAGGAGGACCTCACCTGAGTATCACAGTACCAGGTGTGTGGGTGGCTTAGGTTAGGTTAATTAGAGAAGGAAAATTATATTTGACTTATGTGAGAATGGTTAAGGATGGTTAGGTTAGGTTAGACAAGACAACGAAAAATAGCATATTTTTATTATTAGACAGACTAAAGACATTATGTTAGGCTAACATTACAGTGAAAGTTTCATCAGAAAAAGTAGATGTTAAGTTTAATTTAGTAGTGTCAACAGATGTACACGAGGGACAGTTAACCCCTTGTGTACTGGTCACCCTCTGTGCTGAAGAATATTGTTTGGGGTTAATCAAATTACGTATTAAAGGTGGGGCTCCCATAATGAAAGTGTTAAAATTACTGTGATAAAAAAGAAAATCTCTAAATAATAATAATAATAATAATAATAATAATAATAATAATAATAATAATAATAATAATAATAATAATAATAATAATAATAATAATAATAATAATAATAATAATAATAATAATGTAATAGCCTTAATAATATATAATAATATAATAATAATAATAATAATAATAATAATATAATAATATATATTATGTATAATAATAATAATAATAATAATAATAATAATAATAATAATAATAATAATAATAATAATGATAATAATAATAATAATAATAATAATAATAATAATAATAATAATAATAATAATAATAATAATAATAATAATATATAATAATAAATAATAAATAATAATAATAAACAATAAATTATAATAATAATAAATAATAAATAATAAAAATAATAATACTGATAATAATAATAATAATAATAATTATAATAATAATAATAATAATAATAATAATAATAATAATAATAATAATAATAATAATTATAATAATAATAATTGTAGCAATCAATACCAGTTTAATGAATACATTTGACATTGCACGCTGTTCACCAGCCACCGTTCGCGAGGCTCGGTTCATTAGCTACTGTTTTCCAAGGTACCGTTCATGACCTCTCGCTCACTAGGCACTTTTGATGAAAATTACACAAAAACGTCGTTGGCGAGAAAGAGTTCAAGGCAGAAGGAGGCGAAGGCGAGAAGAAGACCAGCTGCCAGTAGCACCAGTGTACCCTGCAGGAAGTACACGTGTTAGTGCTTTATTATCACTACTAGCTGGAGTACCCGGGGCTGGCCGGATTTACTTTGCTGAAGTAAAGTTAACTTAAGCAAAACAATTCCATCAGGCGCCGCTTCTCCCCCTCCCAATTACACCTACCTTCAGTTACGTAACCATAGTAAGTTTTACCCTTTTATGCTAAGATGTAGGAGGGGAGAACACACACACACACACACACACACACACACACACACACACACTACTATTAATGACCGTAGGCCCCCAGGGGCCAACCCCTAGTCCTAGAGTTAACAAGGCATCTCATAGCCCACGTCCGTCCTTAGACAAAATTAAGTACACTTGCAAAAATAAGCAAACTAAATGTGAGCTCTGTCTTAAGAACTGTGGCCGTGTAAAGTAAATAAACGGGAAAAGCGTTTTGAGTTTTTAATAAGGAAGTTTCACCTTTGTGAGTTGAGGCCGACCACTGGGGCTAAACACTCGAAAATTTTACCTTAGTGATATTTTAGGGATACATGTGTATGTCCATGACAAATTTCAATGAGTGAGTGAGTGAGGACAAGGTAGGTACTCACCCAGAGGCTCTTGAGTGTGAGAGCCTCCTTGACTGTGATCTTGGAGGGTGAAAGGCGACAGCTGGTCATGAAGGGAATACTATTAAATAGCCAGTGTTCGTACACCCCAGACTCCACCAGTCCTCGTAACCTACAGAAAACAATCACTATACAGGGTGTCTGTATGTTAGCTGACCCAATTTTAAACATAATGACCTCAACAAATATCACAGAGAGAACACAGTACACATGTGGAAGTCTAAGAAAAATAAAACCTTATGAGTTGTTCATTAATTCTAATAAAATCCTTAGCTGTATATATAATGTGTTTATGGTTATTTAATTTTAAGTTGGATCAGATAATTTATGAACCCTGTATAAAGAAGTAAACAACTATATAAGCAATGAGAAAGACAGTTATCACATGTGGAATATTTATGAATTACCTGCTCAGTACATATTAAGAGCTGACTACGTTATTTCATCGTAATATTAACCAGCCTAACGCTCACTTAAATTAACCTAACAAAGCTAACCTAACCAAACCTAAAGGTAACCTAACCTAAAGGTGACGTAACCAAACCTAAAGGTAACCTAACCTAACAACATGCCGGGCTCAGAGGCAGGACCAGATGATGGTTGAGGATTTTATAAACAAGGTCGTGTGTTGCTCACCTGTGGCTCATGGCTGGTACGATCGGGTTCCCTTTCTGGCCGATCATGCAGTGGTGGGTGGTGAAAAATGTCTGACGGGCCTTGTAGAAGTCACACTTTCCTGCAACAACCAGCAAATACCAGTGTTGTTATAACTAAAACCCACAGCCATTTATTGATAATAATTTATACAGATGTTTTTCGGATAACATAAAGACACCCCAGTTTATTTCAGCTGATGATTAAACACTAATAACAACATGAAGGGTTAGGTTAGGTTAAGTATGGTTAGATTAAGTTAGCATTAGAGTGTTTCATTATTAGGTGAGATTAGCTGGGGTGTCTAATCTTCATCTAATCCGATTTTCTGCTAATGGAGCATCATGGAGAAGACAAATACAGAAGCAAACACATGAACAAAGTAATCTTCATCTTATTGTTGTCTTTGCTGAAATGAAGATGACTAGAAGAATGTTACTAGTCAACTGTTTACACTAATGTGGTTGTGGGTGTATGTAAGAGAGACACAGGGAAGAGAACAGCTGAGAAGTGTAGAGATCAACACACCGCAGAGGAAGATCTTATTTTGTGGTGTTCAAATAGTATATGGTTGAGTGAGCAACTAATAGATCTGGGATGGATCACTAAAGTAATAATAAAATATTATGAACAAATTGAACATTAAACTACGATGGAAGAGTGACAAACAGATCAATGGGCAAGTGTTTTGGTGTGAAGGGAAGATGGGAGTTAGAACTGGATTACTGATTTAGACTCATCGATTCACACACGATTTTACCACAAACTCCAGAAGACAGAGTTACATCCCATTAAGGGAACAGGTCTCTGAAAAAAGATACGCAT